CAAGCTGCTGGGTCCGGGACTCAAACCACAGCTGGCCATGTGGAAATACAGTACTTTAACCACCATACCACTTGTTGATCCCCTATAGATATACTTTCAAAAACTATACTATATCCTAGAAAGATGTATAAGATTATATGTAAATCATAAATTACAATACAAGTTCTTTTTTTAAAAAAAAAAAAGAGAGAGACAATTAAGTTAAAATGAGGCCATTAAGCTAGGTCTTAATCCATTCTGACTGGCATCCTTCTAAGAGGAGAGATTAATGCATATAAGAAGACATCAGAGAAGTGCATGCACAGAGGTGGACCATATTAAGAAACAAGAGAGTGGCTATCTGCAAGCCAAGGAGAAAAGCCTCAGGAGAAACCCAACTTACAGAAATCTTGATCTTGGACTTCCAGCTTCTAGAGCTGTGGGAAAAGAGGTTTCTGTCATTTAAGCTATCCAATCCATGGTATTTGGTTATGGCAGCCCTAGAAATTCCCTGCTCACCTCTCATGCTCTCAACCAACAAAACATTCAGATTCAATTGAGGCTGAGCAGACACAAACTGATTTTTTTTTTAAGAGAGATTTTTTACTAGAGCATGTGTGTGCTTGCTAGAAATATATATAGAAAGATGGAAAGACAGAAAGCGAGAATCACCCCCCAGGAGGGATGGCCATGCCACAATCCCCTCTTCTCCATTCTCCTCTGGGGATTTTAGGTATGCATGCACGTGCACCCAGTATGAGTTTTAAGCCACTGGGACCAGAACTCGATCTTGGACCCAGTGTGAGGTTACTGGGTTACCAGTGTGAGGTCACTTGAACCCAGACCTGGTGTGGGTTTACTCTATGACATGTGAGTCCAGCAACATAACCATCATGCCATCTGCTGGTCTCCAAATCTGAATTTTTATTTTACTATTATTATTCTTAAATTAAATTTTAATTTCCTTTACACATTGAATTACATATGTCATTTAGTTTGTAAAGTGAACATTCCAACATGAATACATTTCTCACCAGTCCAGTTGGGGATTCTATACACGTTATCATCAACAGATAATAATCAATTTCTTTGTCCCATAAATGTCTTGCCTCTATTTTTCTCCTTAATGTCTTTCCTCAAACTCTCCTCCTTCTCCCACCCTCTTACCACACTGTATCTGGTATCTATAACTATTTTCTATGTTTCCATATCTTCTAGTCATTCAGTTTCGGCCATAGAGTGTGGACATTTAATGTCTTTCCTTAATAGTCTGGCTTGCTTCACTCAGCAGTAAATCTTCCATATTCATTAACTTTCTGTTAAAACCTAGGGTCTTTTTTTTTTAATTTATTTGTTTACATTCATTCACTGTACATCATTACAGCATACAAAATGAGATTTTCCATCC